CCCCTGAAAGGTTCACCACTGTGCCGTGTTTTATGCATTGTGGATAACAACCCTCATTTGCTTTGCAACCCTTTACAGACTGATACACATTAATTGCTTTGTTTCTCATCTCTTCATAAACTTCTGTGTATGACAGTCATGTTGTCATACATTTGCTGCTTTTTTTAGATCTTGTACTACATGTTCTCAGTCAAGGAATGCTTTAGTGATTCCTGATTCTACCTGGGAGAGACTATTGATACTGAATTTATTGTTGTTCACAGTTAATTTGTGTTTGTGCAAGTAAGGTGACTACTCTTAAACAAAGTGCCAGGTTGTTTTGACATTTATTCCCTCTGTGAAATAAGTAATATTTTAGAGATTACTTCTTTATTTTATTTAGGTTATAAATGTCTGATATCAAACTTTAACAAAAACCCTGATGCTTTACTCACATTATCAGCTCTTAGTGGCTTGGGAGAGCAGCAGTGGTGAGACAGGAACTTTGCAACTTCTTCTCTGAGGCTAAACAAAGGAAGGCAGGATTGAAAGATTATTATAAAACAGAGTTTTATGGAGTTATTAAGGTAAAACTGTAATAAGATGTTAATTTAAAAATGAGAATGAAAGTGCCCTGAAATGTCTTACAATGTGTGCCCAGTCCAGTCTGCATACTGCAACAGGGATGGCTCAACATGCAACATGTCAGGCTTGGTTAGCTGTAACAAATTGAAGCATCAGTAGAAGTAGTTGGAATAATTGGAAATTATTTAAAGTTACAGATAATCATATTGCTTTATGAGGCATGCGTGGTGGAACTTAAATATTTAGTCTCTATTATGGTGTAATCATTTGTACAATTCAACAAGTCCCAACTTGTTAATTATTTAAGCAGATACTTGGCTTAAATTATATTATTCTTCTGTTTTGGAGAAGCTTCAATGGTTCTCATGTGAAGAAAAATAGTCTTAAAAAAAATAAGGCACAGTGGACTATGTCAAAAAAGCTTTGAAGATAAAAATCCATGAAACAAGTTGTTCAGTTTTCATTTGAGCTTAAATGTAACATCATTTCATGTTTTCCCCTTCTATACAGAAATATGCCCTCTTTCCAACTATAAAAAAAAAAAAATGCTAGATTCTCTTCAAGAATTTACTTTGTACAAAATTTCCTCCTCTGCAACTCCCCTTAGAGTTCTGGCACTATGTCATTATGTAAGTGACAATATCGTGTATTTTACTCTTTTATGAAGAAGATCATAGCACAGTTTGTTCTCACTGGTCCCCAAGTTGACAATGCCCTGGAAAAAGAAAACAACAGCAAAAGTATTATTTTATTTATGGTTCTGGTTTCTCTTTATAGCACAATGCCAACTTACGTCAGGATTGTCCGTTTGATGATGTTTGTCCATTGCATACTGGATAAAGCCCTCCTGGAGAATGCCTTGATGCTGTCGGATGCTGTTACCTCGGCTGGACAGGTACACGCTGTGGCTGGGAGCCTCTGTGCCTCTCATTCTTGCCAAAACATCCTGTGACACTTGGCAGGTCTTGACAGATACGGGCTGGGACTTTTTGGTCTCCTGAGTGGCGACAGGCTGAGCTGTGGGAGCTTCTGGAGGAGGCTGAGATAAAAATGACGGGACTGTGGGGCCAGCAGTGGCCAGCGGAGGACTTGACATATGAGTCAGAGGTGAGATGGGACTGTCGGACGATGTGCTGGCAGGGGCCCCCTTTGTGGTGGCGAACAGCGCCCCTGTGAGCATAGTGAACAGGTGGAGCTCGTGCTGCCGCTCCTTTTCTGCCCGTCTCTCCTCCCTCTGCTCCCTGCGTTCCTCAGCCTGGAACTCTCTCTCCAGCCGGGCCTCTTCCAGGGAGAGAAGACGCTCCTCTGCAGACTGCTGCCAGCTCAGGAAGCTGACCAGAGCTTTGTCAAGGCTCTCCCTACCACCTGATCTGCCACATGATGCTCTGCCACCCCGCCTACGCTTCCTTTGTTTCACAGAAGTTGACTCGCCAGGAGCCTCACTGCTGGGCTGCTCAGAGGTTTCTTGCATCACAGGACCGATGTGAGTGGCAGTTGTAGCAGAAGCATTCATGTCCCTAAAACCTGAAAATATAAACATATACAATTACTTTCAAGCACACACGTGAAAATTGTGTACAAAACCTAAGAAAAATAAATGAATATTTTATTGCAGTGGCAGAATCTCACACAGATTTATCTTTTTTAAATCCTTTCACTTGAGAACATTTATTTAGTGAGGAACAAAAATGCTATCAATAAAAATCTATTTCAACTTCAGAAGAAAGCTGATCTGCACAACAAGAGCACATAGAGCAGAGGTGAAGCCTGGAGGAGTGGCATCAATGACTCATTATGGAGGTCACAAATGAACCCAGAACATTTAAAGCAGGCTTCATTTGCCTCAGTTAAGGTGAGGGTGCATATTTCAACACTGAGAAAGAGCAAAGGTATCCAGAAGGTTTTGACATAAAAAAAAAAAAAAAAAAAAAAAAAACATTGTTGAAAAGAACACAAAATCCAGTTTGCCTAAAGAATTATGACACTGATCAAAAAGACTGTCAGGAAATATAGTGTGAACGAATAAGATAAGATGGACATGTCTGGAAGATAGTGGCCCCGACAAATTTTTTATAAAACTAACAAGATTATTGAAAATTAATTTTATGCCGACAATCAAACATGATTGAGATACAGCAGGAAAATGATCCAAACCACACTAGCTCAAAAAGACCAAAATGAAGTTTTTGAAGTGGCATAGCCAGAGTCTGGGTTTAACTTTAAAGAGTTATTATCTTATCTTAAACAAGCTGACCATGCTTGAATATATACGGTCATGTTCCCAGATATCACAAACACTTGTTGACACTTTATGCCACCAAAATTGAGAAAAACATATATTTGGTTTAGAATTTAAACCATTTTTACCAAAGTATTTTTTTTTCGTGACACTATTGATGCTTTCAATGTTTGTGTGAGAGCATGCTACTTCAATAAGAGATACATTTATTTTAAGGTGTTTTGCACAGCTTTACAAGGGACGCTAACATATTGGTCCACATCTGTAACATGCTTATTTTTAAGAGTGGAGATAATATTGGTTTTATTTGCCTGATGGTGGGGTTCTTGTATTAGGAGAGGTTTCAGGTTGAGCCAATGCGTCCTCTGCGTCCAGTAGAGACTGCCCATCTGTCTCCTGATCATCCTCTGAGCCATAGTACATCTCAGGTGGTGGCATCCCTGAATTCAGGAGGTTCCCCTCAGCATCCTCACTCTTTATGTCCAGGGGATCTTCAGCTTTAGGTGGCTGGCCGAACAAAAATCCTCCTGAGGATGAAGGGCCAAACGAGCCAACTGGAAGTCCCTGCAGATATGCCTCAGACCCGCATGAGCCCTGGAACACCTGCTGAGCGACCACGGCTCCCCCTAAAGAGGAGTAGCTGACCGCCGGACGGCTCGCCAGCACTCTGTCCATCACATCATAGAACTTCCAAGTCCTCATCTTGTGGTTGTCTTTGATACGCCTATATTCCAGCTTCATCTTCTTAATCTTCTCCCTGCATTGGTCGCCCGAGCGGTAGATGCCCTTTTCGCGCAAGACGTGCGCGATGCGGTCAAACACGCGCTGGTTGCGCAGGGAGCTCTCCAGCTCGATCTGCACGGACTCGTCCGACCAGAGCTGCAGCAACTCCACGATCTCTGGATCGGTCCAGTTGCTGCCTCTTTCGTACCTCCTGGCGCGGAAGTCCATAATGCTAAGTTATAACGGGACGTATTCTGCAACACAGGAGATGTTCCTGTTTTAACTTTTAACAGCGCCGGGAATCACTGATACATAACGGTATCATTGGTAAAGTTGGTCATTCCCACCGTGTGTGCCCCACACAGCAACCACTTTTGCTCGCTCACCTCAAATTAAAAGTGCAGCTCTTCGATAACATATTGTTGTGGTGCTGTCAATCTGGTGTTACGTGACGGCTCATTGACCCGATTCCCGTCGGTTCGGAATGGCACGGCGTTGTTCAGCGCGTGTTAGAATGCACTTTTGTCACTAATTCTGTAACAATGTTGCAGAATTTGACAACACAGACACAGAAATATCTGCATCCGGGTTGACGGCACATGCGTGCTGTCCTTATTCCGGGATAACTTTGGCTCGTGTTAACTGCAAGGGGCTGCTGAAAGCAGCCTGTGTTTCATTCGTACCAGGCTGTAAAGGGGTAGACACACACACACACACACACGCACACACGCACACAGCACCTCGAGCTAGACACTGAAAGCGATGAGTTTTTGCCTCCCTCTGCTGTACGATGTTCTGCTCTTCCAGTGTAGTTTTAATACTCAACCACAAGATGGCAGTAGCACACAGTGTCTAAATCTGCTGCCCTCCGAAGGAGTGCATATGTTTTTATCATGGGCGTCGCACGGAAATTATTCAAAAGGATAAAACAAAAACAGCCAAAATCAAAACATGTTTCGTAATATTATCTGCATGAATTACACAGTGGTATTTGTTTTACTATAATTATTTGTAATTATTTTTTTCCACCTGCTTAAAATCATTAATTCTTGGCAGTAGCAGTAAAAGTCAGTTTATCCGAATTATAACTACCATTAGCACAACAAGGGAAGCCAAAGCATGAGAGTCGGGATTGTGCATCAACTTCGCCCTCAGTCACAATTTTATTGAAGCATTCAAACTGCACAAGACGATTTAGTTCCAAGAGTCTTTTTAAGGCTCGTGATCTATTTGCCACACACAATATGGTGGACTCAAGGCCGTATCTTTTATGCTGGACAATTCATCTAACACGGCGTCCACTTGCTATAAGGAAAACGATATTTAATAGGGAAAAAGCTGATAGCCGCCCCTCTGGGCGAGGAAGGTGAAACAAACCAAGCGTCCAAGATAATCCACTTGCTTCTGAACGTGACGTATTTCCGTGAGAAAGGAGGTTTGTGGCAGTTTGTTGTCATCTCCGTCCAATGGTGAACCGCTACATTGTATGGGCACGGAGTCCTATTTCACCCGCAATTTTGTTTGATATTATTGACACTCGCTTAACACATCCAGCAAAAACAACTTCTTGGGTTGCAGGAAATCTTCAAAAAATGGAAAGCGACGGTTGAAGTTTATTGTTGAAATGTATAATCATGGTGTTAAGTTGTTTGCGAATGACAAGCAAGAAGGGGGAGTTTAATTGATGACTTCTTGGAGGAAAATGGGTGCGTGCGGGTAGCATAAAAAAAAAAAACAACAAACAAATAATTTCCTGAAGCAAGTGAAGGGAATGGATGTAAAGTTGGGTAGTTAACGCACAAAAGAAAGGAAGAGAGAGGGGAGTCTCCGCTTGGAGCGAGGAGGAGGACAGGAGAAGGAAGATGAGGGGAGCATGACGGCTCGGTCCTCATGGCTGTTATCTGACTTTCTGAGGTAATTGTTTTGACTTTTTGCATTTTCTTCTAGTTTCTGTGATGTCCACGAGTGCGGTGTGTCATACGCAGGGAGGAGAATAGCAGCGGAGTGGGTGGGAACACAATGGGAATATTTGCAGAAAGCGTTGCACGATCTCTGCCAGCAGTCTTCACCAGACCTCCCAGTCAGGTGAATTTTCCCAGTAAGACACCGACCGGGTACTATAGTCTTTTTTAAATGCTACGTAGATGGACTTTATCACCAGTAGAGTAGCACCTGTCCAGCTTTGACATTTTGATTTGTGATGCCTTTTCCATGAAGTTCACAGTTGGTAAGAAATTCCTTTTATCGCCAAAATTAAAATAGTCTTTCTTTGATCTGTACTTTAAACTTTTACTCTGTTTTCCTCCCTTCTCTTTCTCTTGTATGCATTCTGCCTGCTTGTTTTGGTAACTAAAGTTTTCATCAGAAACGGTTATAAAATGCAAACATTACCAAGTTGTTGAATTTCTTTCTTTTTTGTGAGACTCAAACTGATGCGGTTCAGTAGGAATTTAATTTTCTTTTTACATTTAAAATGAGGAAAGCATGAAATCACTGACAAAGAAAAACCTCTGCACCTCAGCTCACATTTTCTATATATTCATCCGGTGATGTCGCTCTCCATACAAGAGGCTTTTAGATATAAAACACACATAAGATTAAAACAAACCACATTATTCTTAGAAAAAACAATGCCATCCACTTTCACAGTATTCAATAGTTATAATTTGGTGCCTGTTTTTTTTTTTTTTTTTTGTTTGAGGGGGAAAAATTACAGCTTCTTGTTTGTTTGTTTTTTCAATTATTATTATTTGCTTGTAATTTTCTTTTTTTAAATTTCAGCAGTAAATAATTTACTGCTGAAAGACTATTATTTTTCAAGTTTGATCAATAAAAAAGAAAGAAACATCTCAAATTAAAATGTTTTTCTATCATCAACAGAACCAGGTCATTTTAAAACATGAATTAAAAGATATATTGTGTATCATTCAAATTGATAATATTTTGGATTTGCCTAGCTTTTCCATTCTTTTTCATCTATCTTTTGTGATTTAAAAAGTCATGGCACAACACCTTTGATTAGTACAGAAGAAAAAGACCATTACTGGTGTCTAATGAGAACATGCAATTACCAAAACATGCACTAACCACACACTCGAGTTTTCTTAATTTTTCGTTTTTTCTTTTACCTTAAGCCTTACAGCTAAAACCCGCTTCGAGTAGCTCTTTCTATCAGAGTAAGGTGTGAATTGCAGTGATAAATCTCATTTAGTGCTGCTCCTCAGGCAAAGCTGGAATTGTTCAGACCTAGCTATGCACTATTCCTCTTCATACTGTCATTAAATACTATATTTGTGCCTATTCGGATATAATCTCTGCGTGCTCTGTTTGAACAAACAAGTGGGGTTGGGGGGAACAACTAAATCCTGGAATGATTTAGTATACATCCGATCGTGCCCCGAGGAAAACATTATTGTTATTTTAATTTCCACTGAGATATCAGCAGAGAGAGGAAATCAAGGTCACCAGCACCAGCATGGCTCCAAGCATTATTCTAGGACGGATTACACACCGAATCAAAGTTACTCTGTAAAGCTCTTATTTATTTATTTTCAATATCTTTGTTCAGCCTACATTGTGCCCAGGATCAAAGGTATTATGGTTTTATAGTGGTCCTCATCTGTGAAACCTCTGCATTTCATCAGCACAAAGGGTTAAACTGTGCTGATAATTCTCTGGCTCTGAAACTTTTTTAAGAGACACTAAATGGAGATGCAGTGTAGGAGGAAGATGTGTGAAAACAAACTACTCTATGGTATAACTCATCTATAACTAGGGCAAAGGGTGACATGAATGAATGGAGGTTCAACCTGGGAAGCAATGCTCAGATCCACATCGCTATTTAAAATTGGGTTGGATCCCTCTGTGGAGCATTATTTACACAATTGATTGCTTCTCCAGGATACGCTGCTGTCGCCCCACACACCACTTCATCAGGCTTCTCCATCTCCGAAGCCGGTGGGTTGTGGGAGTAAGAATGGATCTGGTTTCTGACTTTGCGGTGCACACACTGCTCCCATCCAGCTGTGCACGGCTGTCGTGACCGAGCATGACATGCTTCAGTGCTGCTTCTTTCCGACCACACTCCTAACTTTGATCAGCTTTCCCTCCCAGGAGAGGAAGCTTGGCTGTCAGTGGCACTTCACAAATGCTGCCGCTTGCTTGCCGAGCCTTGGTTTCCAGCAATGGGGGCAGCCCAGAGCACATGGTGGGTGTTGATTTGGCTGAAGGGCTCCCTGAAATAGAGCTGGAGTGCTGCATATGGTCTGTCACAGTTCCGTGTGCTCATCATTACCAATGCAAATCATCTGTGCATCCATGAAGGCTTTGAAATCACATCTCTCTTTGCTAACACTAATGCAGACAAAGTTAACTGAATGTACGTGCCCTATGTGTGATATGTACCTTTTACGTGGGTTCATGGGAACAATATAATGAGAACCTGGGGGTTAAGCATATTTCGTGTGCATAGGGAAAATCAAATTCAGAGGGTAAAAAATACACTTGCACTTGTTTCAGGTAGCTATCTATGTTTGACAAGGTTTTCTGAGATTAATTGTTGCTGCTACTGTTTTAGATTTGCAATAATTTTAAGTCATTCCCTCCTCGTTTTTTAATATGAATACTGAATTTGTAATTACAACCCCCTCGGTAATTATTTGGAGAGGAAAAAAGAAAGCATTAAGACATTTTTTTGTTATTGTCACTGCATGTCTCACAGTGAAAAATGAGAAAATCCAACTTTTAATTTTATTACATTAATTGAATATGGATGAAGTGACATACCAGCATAGTTTTTGTTGGATGTTATTAAAAACAAAAGACTAGAAAATTTGCCAAGCATAACACTGTGGAAAGTATATCCCCTGAATCCCCTCAACCTCCCTAGATTTCTCCTATTTATGCTTTTTCTGGTCAGAATTGATAGTTTTGGATCATCAAACATATCAGACAGAACAAATACAAAAAGCAGTTTTCCAACGAGGATTTGGAGAAAAAGGTATCCAAACAATCCTTACCCTATGTGACAAAAAATAATTGCTCTCTTTGTAATTTATTAATTAACAGTGATTATCCAGTTTTTTGGGCTTTATTTCCAATCATCTAAATATAACTTCTAATTCAACATGAAGTAGGCTAAAACATCTCAAAAACCGACACTTCTTAAAATACAAATAGAAGGATGAACAAAAACCTTTTATTGACATATCACTCTGGAAAGCGTCTCAAAGCCATTTCTAAAGCTTAACCACAGCAAGAATCATAATCGATAAAGGAGAAAACTTGAAAGAGTGGAGGACCTCCCCAGATGTAGTCAGACTCTGTGTTCATTGATGAATTATCCAGGAAATCATAAAAGTACCCAGCAAAAAGTTGCTAAAGCATTGTAGATTGCACATGCCTCAGTTAATGTTTGCGATCTTGATTGATACTGGGGAGATATGCCGCGCTTGGGAAAATTTTAAGGCAAAACCAACACAAAGGCCTGCCACATCATGCAGAAGCTCTCTTGATGTTCCTGGGGGAAAATATTCTTGGAACAAGTGAAAAGTGGATGGTTTTGGAAGATGTGTGTGTGTGTCATGCCATCTGGTGTAAAACTAGTGTAGGATTTCAAGAAAAAGTACACCAACGATACCGTCAAATTATATCAATGTTTGGTGGTTAGGTGTGCTTTGCTGCTTTGAAATCTGGATTGGGTCTGCCTAAAGGAGTTTCACAATCAAAGCTTTTTTTTTCTCTTTTTTGTCTGAAGCTTCTTCAGTTTTTACAACAATTAAATAACTGATACTTTGATATAGAACATATCATTTCCTGTTTTGATGCTGCTATAAATCTGTCAGAAGAAAGCTATTCATAATTAAGTGTCTATCTAAATGTGTTAAAAGTTTTTTTTTGTTTGTTTTATGATACACAACACATTTGTGTGGGTTTCTTGTGGCTTTTGTAGCTTTATCTCCATCAAGTCTTTAAAAATAGGAGAGGAAAACTTGGTGAAGAAATTAAAACCAAGATAACACAGCATAAATGAAACCTAAATTGTGACACTGAAAAAGAAGCCTAGGGATAGAGAGCACAGTAAAAATAGAAGAAAATGACTGTCAGTAAAAATAGCTTATTGGAAAAACAGCAGCTCAAGACACTATCTGGTACATTATGTTGCAAAATGACAGCAACTGTTAAAACTCAAAAGGCATAAATATGGATGTAGAATTAGTAAATTGATATTGAATTGGCCTGAATAATTTAAAAAAGGTTACTATATTTTGTGACCTGAGAAATATCTTTAATATTAAAGCTGCCTCCCTTGTCAGTCTGTAAATGTTCAACTGTTGATGTTTTTTTTTTTTTTACAGTAATGACATTAACTGTAAAAGTTAAGACCATTGTAGAACTAAAAAAAACAAACAAAAAAAAAAAAAACAATTAGGGCATCATAAAATGAAGCCTGCAATTGTGATATTATGGAGGAATAATGCGAACTTGAAATTGAGTGTTCTATTAATTATTCTGTTGATTGGACATAAAGCAAAATGTCAGGTTTTACAGAATCTAGTTAAGCTTATATATTTATTTTTTGATATTACATTTAAAATAAATTGTAAATAAAAGCTGGGGGGTGGGGGTGGGGGGTTTCCCAAAATTGATGCTCATTTACATTGTTTCATAATATTTTTAGATAATTAATTTGTTCATGTAATTTTAAATCCATGTCGATTAGGGATATAAATTCTGTTAGGACTTAACTATGCATCATTACTAAAAAAATATTTAGCAAATCACAAGGAGCCTTCATGGTCAAAGGTTTTTCCACAAAGTGCAGGACTTTTTCATGGTAGATATATGTAGTGATTGAAAGTTGATCAGATTACATGAATCCTATTTTAAAAATTACTATCAGGTAGCAAAATGAA